CGTTGCTACAGTACCTCTTGGTGAACAGTGAGTGACGAGGTCGGCCATCTCCGCCAGCTTAATGAGAGGCAGGTCGTCTGGTACGGTAGCCAAAGCAATATTCCCGTTCAGCTGCATGCGCTGAAAGAACAACTCACGCAGCCGCGGACTGTTTCTATCCAACTGACTGTCACTGAGAAGCCTCTGCGTGCGAAGCAGAAGTTCTGACGGTCACCGTTCACCGAGCTCCTCCTCATTTAGAAGCTGCTGAAGATGCCTGCTCAGAAGCAAAAACTTGCGTTCAAGCACCGTTGCTTTGAAATCGTCATGAGGATCGATATTGGGGAGTGCACCTACAGGGTCATGGAACTCTGGAACCGCGTCCGTTGAGAGTGCAGAGACAGCATGCTGGTACTTCATTTGCTGCAAAGTGACGCACTGAAGGGTGAATATGGCCTCGATATGCGTAAACCAGGCTGAAAAATTCTGTGGCCACAACGACGGCAGGTGAATCTGCATCATGGCGATGACTTTCCGTACCGATCGTCGGTCTGTCGTTCGCAGTGCTTACTAGCGATACTCACGTCCGGGTCACCACGTTATAGGGACCGATGTTAGGTCTCTATAACCATGCGTGTGACGGCAAGCGAAAACAGAAGGAACCTGTTCAGGCTGACGGCAGGAGCAGAACTGAGCTTTATTTTCTTTCAACTGCTGAGCACGCCACACGAGCAACAAAGCACAGGGGCATGTACAAGCACCTGAGCGCACCAAAATTATTAGGCGGCTGGTGATGATGATGGCCACTAGAGTGACCATAGGGTCTGGTGACTTCGTAGGCGGGCGACTCGTCGGCTGATGGCTTGCATCTGCCTCGTGTCTTCGGCAAGCTCATGTCAGTGCCGTGTCGCTCTAGTGTAAACATGCCTTTGGGCACTCAGTAAGGCCATTACTCTGTGGGTGGTACGCTGTCGTACAGTAGTGGCCTGTCTGTCTCTGTGCCAAAATCGCTTGGGTTAGTTCAGTAAATGCAGTACCTCGGTCAGTGATAAGGACCTCTAGGGCGCCGTGATGCAGGGTGATGTTTCCAACAAAGAATTTCGCTACCTTATATGCGCTACTATTTGGGCAGGGCTTTTGTCTTGGTGTAACGGGTAAGGTAGTCAGTAGCTATGACGATCCATTTGTTTCCAACAGCCGATGTTGGGAACAGCCCAACGTAATGTCTATACCGATTTGCTGGAACGGTCTGCAAAGTGGTTCGATGGGCTGCAGTAGTCCCGCTGGCCTTGTCGGCAATGTCTTGTGTCGTTGGCAGTCCCGGCATGTCCTCACGTAATGAGCGACATAGATGGCAAGGCGTGGTGAGTAGTATTTGGTTCGTCATCTTGCCAGCATGCGGGAAAAACCAAGGCAGCCCGCTGTTGGGTTGTCTTGCAGGGTCTGCAGAATTTCTGGTCGCGTTGCTGAAGGTACAACGTTAAGGTAGCTGGCTCGAGTCGTAGAGAAGTTCTTCTTTATGAGGACGTAGTTTTTCAAGAAAAATGACGCGAGTCCTCCCCTGAAGACTTTTGGAGCGACACTGATTCGGCCCTCCAGGTATTCCACTAACCCTCTCAGTCTCAGGTCAGCTCGCTGCCGCTTGTCAAAGTAATTGGCACTTATAGTTCTTTAGCAGTACTCATCATCCTGGTCATCCTGCAGTGGTGGATAGACGGAGGCACAAGACAGGCAGTCGGCTTCCAGACTTGTACACGACAGTAATGTCAAATTCTTGAAGTCTTAGGCACCACCATGCGAGGCGACCTGAAAGGTCCTTCAAGTTAGCTAGCCAACACAGTGTGTGGTAGTCCCTCGACAACATTGAAAGGTCTGCTGTAGAGATAAGGGCGGAATTATGACGCTACCCAGATGATGGCAAGGCACTTCTTTTCTGTTGTGGAAAAGCTAGCCTCAGCCTAGGATAGTTACCGGCTAGCATAACTGATAACCCTTTCCAGGCCGTCGATCTTTTGCACAAGGACAGCGTCGAATCCTACGCTGCTTGCATTGGTGTGTACTTCTGTTTTGGCATATTCCTCAAAACACGCAAGTAGTGGCTGTGTCCAAGTTTCTGAAGTGCTTCAATATGCACCGTTTCCCACTTGAAATCAACTTAGGTCTTCAATAGCTGCATTAGTGGCTCGATGATCTGTGAAAAATTCTTGACAAAGCGTCTGTAATATGCACACAAACTCTGAAATCGGCGCATGGCTTTTTTGCTGGTGGGTGGTGAAAGGCCGTGATGGCAACTGTTTTCTGCAGGTCTGGGTGCACTCCTCTCTTGCTGATCACGTGACCCAAAAACAGGACCTCCTTCGTACGCAAAGAGGCATTTCTCTGGCTTTAGGGTAAGTCCAGAGCTTCTGATTGCTTGAAGTACGGATTCAAGGTGGAGACCCTCGTCGAAGCTCGACGAAAACACAATTACAGCAGACTCTCAGTAAACGGAATCTGAAGGGACCGAGAAAATATGTTCCATTTTGCAGGAGTTCCATTTACTGAGAGGTGAACATGAGTGCAGAATACAAGCCCGAAACCAATCATTGTAGAGGCAATAGTTCTGTTTAACAGATTTCTATTTACTGAGAGTCTACTGTACGCCATCCAAGTAAACGAGGCAAGTCTACCACTTCAAGCCAGCCAGGACTGTATCCATGGCTCGTTGAAAAGTCGCACGTGCCAAGCAAAGACAAAGGGGACCTTGAACTCGAACAGGCCGTCCAGTGTTATGAAGGCAGTCTTTTCTCGATCTCTCTCGTCGACTTCGATTTGCCGATAGCCAGTTTTGAGGTCAAATGAAAAAAAAGTACCGCGCATTATGGAATCGATTTAGGGCGTCGTCTATTCGTGGAGTGGGTACCCGTCTTTTGTGATTTTATTCAGGCAGCGTTAGTCGATGCAGAATCGTAGAGTTCTGTCTTTCTCCACTAACACCACCGGTGACGCCCATGGACTCTTTTGAAGGCTAGATGATGCCGTCACGTAGCATTTCGTCGACTTGTTTTTTTTTATAGCCTTGAGTTCTCCCATGGAAGCTCTGTACAGGCCCTGATGAAAGTGACCTGGCACTTTCATTGGTTACGATTCGATGTTTCGCGACGGGGGACTGTCGAATTATTGAAAATGACGAAAAGCATTTCTTGTATTTTAGAAGCAGGCTTCTGAGCTATTCTTGTTTATGCGTTGGAAGGCTCGGATTAACGTCGAAAGCTGGGTGAAGGGCTTGGGACGTCGGAGTACATTCAGCAGAATTGGTGACGACAAAAGCGCTGCCGCTGCTGACTTCCACTATTTTTTTGATATAGGCAATGGTCGTACCTTTGCTCTAGTGCTTGCACTCGTCGCTTGGGTTCATGAGCATCACTCTAAGGTTACCTTCCTGCAGCTCGGCTATTCATCTGGCAACTGCACCTCCATCAGTGGCTGCCTTTAGTTTTCTGAATATGAGCTCACGAAACGACCCCTGTAGGGGGGCTGTACTGTTGTCGTCGATAAGGAGACCTGTAAGGTTCAGGTGATGGTGACCTTAACGGGAAGAACATCGAGGTGCCCATTCTGTGGTGGTCAGGTGGTCAGCTATATTGTAGCCACTCGCCATGCTGTGAGGGGGGTGCGTTGAGGAGGAAGCCGCGTAGTACCTATTTGGCAGTACTGGCAGCGGAAGTATGTGTGCCCAGCTGCTCGCAGTGGTAGCGGAGTGGGCGGTTGTCAGGGGCGCACCAAACATCAATCTTCCTCGGTACGTAGCGCTGGGAGGCAGGTGGGTAGTATGTCGGCGGTGGTGTCGCCGGCGGTGTCTGGCGACGAAAATGCGACGGTGCAGCCTTTTGACGTGGACATGGAGGGCAGCGTCGAGCAGCAGCAGTGTAGCTCATTGCTTGGAGTTTCTGCTGCGCTGACTCAGGAATGCCCAGCGACTGCCGAATTTCTTCTCTGACGATGCCTCCGATTGACGAAACTTGAGGCTCGCATAACAGGAACATTCGGCGAAGTTCTTCGTGCACTACGGCTCTTATGGTTTCACGCATATCGCCGAAGTAGAGTGGCTGGATCTCTGCACAGCGTGGTGTCTAGCGGTAGCTGAATTGTCGGGTACGTATTTTAAGGGTCCTTTTGGTAGTCATCCTTTCTGACGGTAGATACAGCGCGAGAACAGAATGACGACAAAGGGACAAGCTAGGAAACAAGCCTTTGTCGTCGTTCTGTTCTCGCGCTATATCTGCCGTCATGTCATAGCAACTAGCCCAAACCCCCACACTTCTAAGTCGCTTTTGAGACAAATTCTTGGACGTTGTTCAGAGGGTTCCGCATCAGTCCCGCAAAAAGCTCCTGCTTAACTCCTCGCATGAGGAGACGGGCTTTCATGTCCTCAGGCATTTCGGAGTCAGCGTGATGGAAGAGTTTCGTTATCTCTTCCATGAAGAGTGTCGCGTTCAGCGACCATGGGAATGATGGATGATTTTAATGAGTAAGGTACACTCTTTTAATAACATCAGCGATTCAGCTGGTTCCTATTCTATAATGTCCTTAATTTTTGTTCTATGAAGCTACATTTCACGCTATCCCAAGTCAACTCAACTGTATTAGAAAAATGAAATGTTTTATATTCCAGAAATAAAATTAGAGTTAGCAGAGTCTACCACATACTAGCTAGTGATCTAGTGATCTAGTGCATACTGGACCATCAACCTTCAACCTATGACTGTGCATGCAGGCTTTGGTGTGAAGTCACCGCCCGACATGCCTAGAATATTGCTCTGTGGCAAGGATAATACAAGCCCTAGCAGCTTTATTGATTGATTGATTAAAACTTTATTTTGGACCTGAGAAGACGCAGGGGAGACCCCGTGCCACCGGGCTAATCCCACGTAAAGACGGTCAAGCCGAGCTTGGCGGCCCGTTCACGGGCACTCTGGACGGCCAGGGTTTGATCCTTAAGTAATGTATAAATTTTATGAAAGGCAACAAATACTGCTTACCGTCCTTAGTATCACCAGCCTGGCCATCTGCATCAGCCCCTGATGGCCGAGACCGCCGCTTGAGCAGCCGTGCCATCATTCAGGGCGGTCGGCCTAATCTCACCTTGTCTGTAACAAGAAGCTGTAATTGAGCATACAGAGTACAACACAGTCCAACACAAATACTTTGCTGCTTCAGTAAAATACTTTTAGAGAAAAAATGTAAAAAACTGTCTTCAGTGAAACAAGTTACCCCATCATTTTGCATAAATTATATGAATGTATCTAGATAACTTCCAAAAAATTTGGTCTATTATGTCATGCCCACACTATGCTGTAGGGCACATTGCCGTGTGAAGTCACCCAATGGAAAAAGTTGACCTCTGCACAGCCTCCTAACCAATGCAGTCACCAACTGAATTCAATCTAACACTATGAAGCCCACTTTTAAAGCAAAAGAAAAGGCCATGGCACATTTAAGAAGCATGCCTTATTCAATTTAAAGGTTTTACTGGCATTACTGATTATATGCATTTGTGCAGCCAGAGTCACATTCAGCTGCAACCCTAAGTTGGACTCCCGCTCCCCAGTGAAAAGAGGCATCTGCACCTAGAACAAATAATGAACTCAATGTGAGCATCAAATGTTGAGTCTCCTGTGTGAGTTACAACTCCATACTGCTATGTTGTAGATGTAGTTCAAATGGCTGCGGAATGCAGAACACCTTAAATACTACTGCTCCTCAGAGGTTCGGATAATGCGAGCAACTAAGCTCAGTGCATGGATCAGTTGTTGACTACTATGTCTACGAAGTATTAAATTTAAAATGATAAACCAAGTGTTGTAACTTGAACTTGGCAACCTTTAACGCTAGAACCTTATTCAGTGAGGCAAGTCTAGCTAGCAAGTCTAGTACTATTCGAAGAGCTAGAGGGTGTTAAATAGGATATAATAGGGCTCAGTGAGGTTAGGAGGACAGATGAGGCCTATAAGGTGCTACAGAATGGGCACGTTCTTTGCTATCGGGGCTTGGCTGACAGAAGAAAACTGGGAGTGGGGTTCCTAATTCACAGAAACAGCTGGCAACATAGAGAAATACTCTAGCATTAATAAAGGTTGGTAAGTATCGTAATTAAACTCAATAAGAAATACAAGATGAAGGTGGTACAGGCTTACACGCCTACATCCAGCCTTGATGATGCTTTAGTTGAAAGCTTCTATGAAGACGTGGAATCGGCAATGAGTTAAGGTAAAAACACAGTATACTATACTGATGGGAGACTTCAATCCAAAGGTAGGAAAGAAGCAGGCTGGAGACCAAGCAGTAGGAGATTAAGGCATCGGTACTAGAAATGCCAGAGCAGAGCTACTAGTAGAATTCACAGAACGCAACAACTTACAGATTTTGAACAAGTTCTACCGAAAACGAGGAAACCGTGAGTGAACATGAAGAAGTCTTAACGGCGAAAATAAGAACGAAATAAACTTTATAATGAGTGCACACCCAAGCATCGTGCAGGATGTGGAAGTGGTTGGCAAGGTACCATGCAGTGACCATTGAATGATAAGGTCTCGAATTCACCTAGACTCGAAGAAGCAACGACAGAAACTGATACGCAACAAGCCAATCAATGAGATAGCACCGAAAGGGAAAGTACAGGAATTTAGAGTCTCGCTTCGGAACAGGTACTCGGCTCTTAATGAGGAAACCAACCTTAGCGTAGATACAATGAATGATAATCTGATGAGTATCATTACAAAGTGTGCAGTGGAAGTTGGAGGCAGGGTAGTTAGACAAGACACTGGCAAGCTTTCCCAGGAAACGAAGAATCTTATTAAGAAGCGTCAAATCATGAAAGTCTCAAGTACAACAGACAAAATAGAACTGGCAGAGCTTTCGAAGTTGATTATTATGCGTAAGCTATGCGATGTAAGAAGGTATAACATGGAGAGAATCGAACACACTCTGAAAAACGGAGGAAGCGTCAAAGCAGGGAAAAGAAAACTTGGAATAGGCCAAAATCGAATTTACGCACTGAGGGAGAAAGAAGGCAAAATAACTACTAATATGGATAGGATAGTTAAAATCGCGGAAAAGTTTTACAGAGATCTGTACACTAGCTGGGACAACCACAAACTTAATACTATAAGAACTAGCAGTAACCCAAATGACACCACATCAGTAATTATAGAAGAAGCCCGAACAGTCTTGGAGAGCATGCAAAGAGGCAAAGCTGCTGGTGAGGACCAGGTAACATCAGATCTGCTGAAAGATGGAGCATAGATTGTATTAGAAAAACCAGCCACCCTGTTTACGAGGTGTCTCCTTACGGGAAGAGTATCAGAGTCTTGGAAGCATGCTAACATCTTAATACATAAGAAAAGAGACAACAAGGACTTCAAGAATTACAGGCCAACCAGCTTGCTCTCTGTAGTATACAAGCTATTTACAAAGGTAATTGGTAACAGAGTAAAGAAAACATTAGAATTCAATCAACCAAACGAACAAGCAGAGTTTCGAACAGCATACTCAACAACCGACCACGTTCATACTATCAATCAGGTAATAGAGAAATGCTCAGAGTATAGCCAACCACTATACAAAGCCTTCATATATTACGAGAAGGCGTTTGATTCAGTAGAAATATCAGCAGTCATGCAGACACTGCGGAATCAGGGCGACAATGAAGCATATATAAACATCCTGGAAGAAATCTACAAGGGATAAACTGCTACCATAGTAGTCCATAAAGAAAGCAACAGAATACCAATCAAGAAGGGTGTAAGGCAGGGGGACACAATCTCCCCAATGCTATTTACCGCGTGTTTACAGGAGGTTTTCAGAGGCCTAGAATGGGAACAGTTAGGCACAAGAGTTAATGGAAAGTACCTTAGTAACCTGCGCTTCGCCGATGACATTGCATAGCTGAGTAACTCAAGGGACGAATTGCAACTCATGATTACGGAGCTAGACAAAAAGAGCAGAAAGGTGGGTCTTAAAATTAATCTGCAGAAAACGAAAGTAATGTACAACAACCTCGGAAGAGAGCAGCGCTTCGAGATAGGTAATAGTGCACTTCAAGTTGTAAAAGACTACGCATACTTAGGGCAGGTAATAACCGCGGAGCCGAACCATGAGACTGAAGTAACTAGAAGAATAAGAATGGGGTAAAGCACATTTGGCAAGCACTCTCAAATTATGACAAGTAAATTGCCACTATCCCTCAAGAAGAAGATATATAACAGCTCTGTCTTGCTGATATTTAGCTATGGAGCAGAAACCTGGAGACTTACAAAGAGAGCTCTGCTTAAATTGATGACGACGCAGCGAGCAGTGGAAAGAAAAATGGTAGGTGCAACCTTAAGAGACAAGAAGAGAGCAGAGTGGAGTAGGGAACAAATGGGGGTTAAGGATATAATATTTGAAATCAAGAAGAAGAAATGGACATGGGCCGGGCATGTAGCGAGTAGACAGGACAATCGCTGGTCATTAAGGGCAACTAACTGGATTCCCAGAGAAGGCAAGCGGGTTAGGGGGAGACCGAAGGTTAGGTGGGCAGATAAGATTAAGAAGTATGCGGGTATAAATTGGCAGCAGCAAGCACAGGACCGAGTTAACTGGCGGAACATGAGAGAGGCTTTTGTCCTGCAGTGGACGTAGTCAGGCTGATGATGATGATGAAACCAAGTGTGCCCGCTTCTGAGGAGGCCATATTTCGAGTGAGAAGGAAGGTCACATGCACAGTGATGCTACAGAAATCTACTAATTTCGCACAATTTTTTGGAAGAGCAGCAAAGTTTTCATTTTGTAGCATTTTGGAGCTAGCAATTTTATATCTGGTAACACTCAGGAGCAGCTAACTACCCATCCTGGAGTACTACCCATCCTGGATGGGTAGTACTCCAGGATGGGTAGTTAGCTAGTTGCATTTACATTTGTGAGGGTGCTGACACCCCCCCCCCCCCCCTGTAAAGTTGTCTGCGCCGCGTGGCGCACGTGTCTCGCCCCAAGGCTTTATTTCGGTGGTGACCACAGCCGGGCGATAGATGGCGTTGTGTTCGCTTTGAGTACCACTGTTGGTAGAGTAGTAGCGCCGGCGGTGGCCCCTGATGGAAGGCAGGCCTTGGTGGTGGGCGAGAGTTGAGCGAGCCTCTTCTGCGCGTGGTGGCTGCCGCGAACGGTTCTCTGTAGCGTGGGTCCCCGGTGCTCAGCACCGCGGGCTTCGCGCCGGGGTCCCACGTGGAAAGTCAGGCGTTGGCGACGCCACCTTGGGTATGTGTTAGTGTGTCACTGCGCTATGTTGTTTGTATGGTAGCGTGTTAATTAATATTGATGTAACATTCGCCGGATGATATCATCGTCTAAATTAGTTAATAAATGTATATATGTTGTGTGCTTTGTACCGACCGTGTCTGCTGTGTCCGTTCACTCCAAGAGCGTGGCGTGGCGATGCACTCGTTCGCCTCGTGGAGACCCCACACTGGCTGCCCAACGTGGAGCTCTTGGAGTATCGGACGACAGTTTTTGCGGTTCAATACAGGGATTTTGTTAGAGCCGGAGTAGAGTAGGCCTAGGGGGGACTTCTTTGCTAGCGTCGGTGGTGTGCTTTGTTGAGAAGCGAGGAGATTGGTTTTGTAACGTGTTTGAATTTGTCGGCAGGTTGACTTTCTATTTATTTAATTTTTGCTCGCAAGTGTTGTTATTTTTTTGTTGTTAGTTTTCAAATACATTGTTGAATTAGGACGAGAGCCATGCGGTTCGTATCCTGGGGTGAGCAAGGCCTAGAGCACGTGGTTTGTAGGCCATGCCCGAAGTGAGTGAGTACAGAAGCCTCGTGGGTGGTCCGATTTTCTGTAAATAGCTTCTTCTATTATCTTTGGGCTACAGGAAGCCGGGCGTCGTTGCTGTCTGGTATTGCGGCTCGACGCCGAGGCGTCGTGACACCGCCCAGGGCGGTGGACGCCGATCGCTCGGTAAGCTGCTGTGTGCGGTGAGCGATAGGGCCACCTCACAGAGTGGACGTCTCCTCGCGGCTGCCTCTTCTGCGCCTAGGCTGGGTGCTGGGTGGATGCCGGTTGTTGCCGAGCGACTCATTAGGCCTAAGGCTCTGCGCAGCCGCCTGTCGCAC